AGCTTCAATTGAAGAATTACAAAATGAGATAACAAAATTAAAAAAAGAAATAGAAGCTCTTACAATGTATTCAATAAATGAAATGACAGGTAAATGATTTAGAATATAAATATATTGATGATAATAATAATAACAGATCATTTGATGAAAAAATATCATTACATATTTATATATATTTATATATATATTTTTTTTTTTTCCTTTTTTTGTTGGAATTATTTATTTAATTTATATTTTATATTTTACATATTTAACATAATGATATATTGATTCAAAATTAATAACTTTATGTATACATCTTTAGATGCAGTTAATTTTTCAAGTATTTTCAATGACAAAATCAAAAGATTAACAACTGTTCTTGACAACTATCAATGTCATGAAAATAATGAGCCTATAAATGATCCTGATGAATTTATCAAAATGATTGAAACAAGAGATCCTGAATTAATTGGTTTTTTTGAGATGCTTTATCAAAGTATGAATCCTGTTTCAAAAAATCCAACAACATTATACAATTTAAAAAAAAAGGTAATGATACTTTGTTATCAAATGGCAGGTTTAAGAAATAAACAGGTAACTTCTGCAAAAAAAAAAATTTGGTTTATATTTGTCTAGCTCAGGTACTTCAGCATCAACTATAGACACTTTATCAAATTTGGGATTTACAACTACATATAAAACTGTAATAAGAGAAAAAAAAAATATAGTAAAAAGTCATGAAGAAAGATTACTGGAATATTTAAGAAATAAGGTATGATTGTAATAGATTAATATTTATTAATTTGAAATAATAAAAATAATAATAATTTTTTTATCTATTTTAAAGCTTAATTTCCTTAATGTGTTGTTGATTGATGATTATCATGATATTCATCAAGCAAGAAACCCTATTGATACAAATTTATCCAATGTAGCTCATATGGCCACAATTATGATACATACTCCTGATATTCCACCAATTCCTTTTATCTCAACATTAGGTGAACCAATTCATAATCCTTTAAATGTTGATGCTGATTTACTAAGATGGGCTTTGAAATTTGATTATATTTCATGTTTGGGAATTAGTTATACAGAAAAAAAATCAACATGGTTCTGCATAAGTAACAATGTCAATCTTAATGAAGATGAATTAATTAATAATTTAACTGTTCATAGCTATGAACCAGAATTTCAAGAAG